GTATTGTGTGGGTGTTAAAGGTCTTCTACGCTACACTTGGGATTATGGGCTGCATATATACTCCGATATTCCAGCGGTGCTTGAAGGATAAAGTGACGCGAAGTATCTCTCTCTATTATGAATGCATGTTTCTTTGAAGATATTTTTCCTTGCCGAACCCATGTAGGGGTTCCAAGGTCTTTGGAGCAATTTGATGAGCTTGCTAGTGAGGATGATCCAGGTGATAATCAAATTGTGGTTTTAGATGAGCCCAGACGGAGTAAAAGGTCTAGGACATCCAAATCTTTTGGTCCAGACTTCTTAACTTATATGGTTGAGAACTAACCTCAAACTTTCCACGAAGCTGTGACTTCTCCTGAGAGTCCTTTATGGAAAGAAGCGATCAAAAGTGAGATTGACTCCATCTTACAGAACCACACCTGGGAGTTGGTAGATTACCTCCCGGTTGTAAGCCTTTAGGCTGCAAATGGATTTTTAAAAGAAAGATGAAGGCCGATGGGTCTATTGACAAGTATAAGGCGAGGCTCGTTATCAAAGGGTACAGGCAACGAGAAGGCCTGGATTACTTTGATACGTACTCACCTGTTACTAGGATAACATCTGTTCGGATGGTGATTGCGATTGCTGCTTTGCGCAATCTAGAAATTCACCAGATGGATGTAAAGACAGCTTTCTTAAATGGGGATTTGAATGAAGAAATCTACATGGAGCAACCTGAAAGGTTTTCAGCTCCAGGACAAAGCAAGAAAGTCTGTAAACTTGTCAAATCTTTGTATGGTTTGAAGCAAGCGCCTAAACAATGGCATAAGAAGTTTGACAATGTAATGTTGTCAAATGGGTTTCGAATCAACGAATGTGACAAGTGTATTTATGTCAAAGACACTGACAGAGGTTATGTCATTTTGTGTCTATATGTTGATGATATGCTCATTATAGATAGTAACGATGAAATGATCAAAACTACCAAGAAGTTGTTAAACTCTAAGTTTGACATGAAGGATATGGGCATTGCAGATGTTATTCTGGGAATTAAGATTACCAGAATCTCTGACGGAATTGTACTATCTCAGTCTCATTATGTTGATAAGATACTTGAGAAGTTTAGTGCATCAGATACGAGTGTGTCTTCGACACCTGTAGACTTAAGTCTACACTTTACCAAGAAAAATAAAGAGAGTGTCTCTCAGTTAGAATATTCTCGGGTAATTGAAAGTTTAATGTATCTGATGAGTTGTACTAGGCCAGATATAGCGTACTCAGTTAGCAGGCTTAGTAGATACACAAGTAATCCTGATGCTTCTCATTGGAAGGGTATTGTGTGGGTGTTAAGGTCTTTACGCTACACTTGGGATTATGGGCTGCATTATACTCGATATCCAGCGGTGCTTGAAGGATATAGTGACGCGAATTGGATATCAGATCTAAAGGACTCAAAGTCCACTAGTGGATATGTGTTCACTCTTGGTGGGGCAGCCGTGTCTTGGAAATCTTCCAAGCAAACGTGTATATCTAGATCAACGATGGATTCAGAGTTTATTGCTTTGGATAAAGCAACGGAAGAAGCAGAATGGCTTCGCCATTTCATTGAAGATATTCCACGTTGGTCTAAACCTGTGCCAGCTATTTGTATTCATTGTGATTGTCAATCTGCAATTGGTAGGGCACAGAATAATATGTATAATGGAAAGTCTAGACATATCCGGCGTAGACATAATTCCATACGACAACTACTCTCGAATGAAGTTGTCTCTATAGACTTTGTAAAGTCTAAGGACAACATTGCGGATCCGCTAACCAAAGGGTTAAGTCGAGTGTTAGTCGAAACGTCGTCAAAAGGAATGGGATTAAGGCCTTTGGAAGTTACTAGAATAGAAACCCAACCTAGTTGACTGGAGATCCCAAGATCTAGGTTCAATGGGACAACCTAATTACGTGTAACGGTGGTATGTCACTGAGGAGGTTAAACCTCCAGCCATTCCTTCTATCAGTGATACCTGCAAGTGTAGAGGTTAAGCTGAGCTTTTAATGACTCTAGTGTGTTAAGCTATTGAGCTGAGTATAGCAGGATACTCAAGTAGAGTCACCTATGTGAGTGTGAAGTGGGGCCGTTTCTAGAAGAATTGGGAGGCCAAGATTCTTTGAAACCACTCGCTGAACCAGGCTAGTGTCCAGGGCCACACAGGGCACATCAGTGAGAACAGAATAGTGTTAGGAGTAATTCCCGTGTGAGATCTATTGTCTCAGTTTACATAAACGGCAGGGCAGTTCAAGATGTCATATTCACTGATCAGCCAGTAAACTCGATAGGTTTTCACTGGGAGAGGTTCAAAGCCAAAAGTTACCTTCTCTGATGTCGGGGTTAGTTCGTTGTACTCTCTCTTCGAGTCATTATTGTTGAACGATGTCCGTTTGTTGCGTCATTCGGTCAATTTTTATTCCTGTGGGGGATTGTTGGAAAAAATGATTTTTGGGGACTTTAATTTAATATTAAAGTGTGGTGACTTTAATTAAAGATTAAAGTGGGTCCCAACCATCTATTGTGTTGGGTCCAAGTGGGTCTAGATACTTTGCATTGAGATCTTTACACCACAGATAGAATGGCCAAAAACCATTGAGATTTGAATGAGAAATTACCTCATGAAGTTAGCTTCATAGAAAAAAAGGTAATGAAGTTTGTAACTCCTGCATTAATGGAGTTTGTAACTCCTACATTAATGGGGTTTGTAACTCCTGCATTAATGGGGTTTGTAAGTCTTGCCTTTATTGCAGAGGTTAATGGTGCATTATGAATAGCCATAAAGGCTGGAGGCTCTTCCTCTCTCCCCTATACATGTATAAATTGAGACCCTCCTGTCAAGTCTCAAACACAGAAATTTTTTACTTCCATTTCACAAGTCAGTTTGCCTGAAAGTTCCTACAGTGAGAGAGTGCTGCCACTGTTTTGTTCGCTAAGCTAGACAGATAGTGCTTCTGCCGTAGCTGGTTTTGACCGTCGTATCCTAGGAGACAGACGCCGGGTTTCCTCAAGCACTCGACCCGTGAGGCGGCGAAATCTGTTTTAAGGAAATTGCTTCCGTGCAGGCATCAGTTTCGTTTCTTTACCCTTTTATTGTTTTGTGTATTTCCGTTGAAATTTAGTTGTAATTATTAGTATGTGTTCTTAGTATATATGTAATTTGATTTCTTCATAAATCTATTTATTTAATTTCAAAATTTGAACAAAACATATTACATTAAATAGGACCTAATGGAATACTAAAAAAGAATATGAGTTAGATTTAGAAAGAGTATTTATCAAACAGTGACTTTTTTTGTTAGTTAATAAACAAGTTTTTAAGATTTTGTCGAAGAGAGTTGTGTCTGCCTAGAATTGTAAACGAACCAAGCTGCTTGAGCTTAAGTCGTGCTCGGACTCATTAAAAGTTTGTTTGAAATCGACTTGTTATGTAAATAAATCAAACTTAAATACAATTTTAAACTCGTTAATTTTTGAAGTTAACCAATTTAATATCGTGTCTTGAATTTTTAAGATCTGGATCCTTGCTAACACTTTCATCATTTAGTCATCATTTAACAGTTGATCGAAATATTACAATTCAACTGTTATCATTATCACTAATTCTGAAAGATAATGTTCTTCAACACTTTCTTCATTTAACTATCATTCTATGGTTGATCTAAAAAGCATAGAGCTAATGATATCGACTAATATTAGCTTTGTCGCTTTTAGATCAACTACTAACTAGTAAATTACACTTTGTTTCCTTTTATGTTTAGTCACTCTTTTACTTTAGCCTTTAAAGTTCCCCCCCCCCTCCCCTCCCCCCCGCTTATTTTGGCCTTTTATGTTTCAATATTTTCTTAGTTTACAATTAATGCTAATTTCTGTTAAAATTAGACAAAAAATGATATATTGACAATCATGTGGGATAAAAATATTTTATTATATATAACTCACACATCTAATACAAACTTAAATTATAATATAATAATATTTTTTATGTTATGTGACAATTATTGTGATATTTTCTGTCTAATTTTAAACATAAATTAGTTTTAGGAGTAGATTGCAGAAAACTTGAAATATGAAAAGTCAAAATAAAAAAATAAAAAAAAAATTTAAAGGCCAAAATGAAAAAAAAAAAGAAAAAAAAGCCAAACATAAAAGGGACTTTGGCCCTGTTTGGGAAAAAAAATTTGGACTAAAATAGTCAATAAAACAAAATAAATTAAAATAGTTAATAAAATAAAATATCATATTTAAACTATAATTATTTAATTTTTTTCTCACAAAAGTAAAAAAATTAAAAAATCTATCCCAAACAAGACTTTTTGACCCTAAATTAAAAAAATTAAAAAGTTAAAAAACCAACTCACATCCTAAACGAATTCATTAAAAGACTAAGATTGAATGGAATTGAAGCACATTCACATGTTTTGCTAACAACCCACAGCCAGATATATAATAACAAAATGAGAGAGAGAGGGGAGAGATGAAATGGAATTTCTTTTTTGCTAAACTCAATTTCAAATCAACCCTATACCTACCTCGTTGATGCCCATAAAACAAATTGACGGCGTTCCGTTAGTTAACGGAGACAGAGAAGAGAGAGTGTTCGTTTTGGACTGAATGGTACGCCCTTGAATGGTACGCCCTTGTACGGGGGAAGGTGCTGACTAAGGCAATGAAAACTATAGGGCAAGAAGCCACACCACCCCAACACACACACCCACACAAGCCCCGTTTGGCAATATAGTTGAAACTAATTTAATTTATTAAAACATAAAATAAGATAAAAAATTAATAAAATAAAATATTACATTTAAATTATAATTAGTTTATTTTTTTTCTTAAAAAATTATGAAAACATTAAAAATTCATCATACAGAGAACTTTTATAACCAAATTAAAATAATAAAAAAATTAATAAGTTTAGCTAAAAACGTTGTTGCCAAACAAAGCCTAACTACTCCCTCTATATATATATATATAAAGCATGATTCGACTCACCAATTCCAATCCACCTCCTTTTTCTTTCTAAGTGTACTGTATTTCACTCTCTTTCTCTCTCTTTACTCTCCACTCTCTCTCTTATATCGAAGCTCTATTGTATGGCCGCCCATTTGCAGAGTAGGGGACTCGTGGGCTTCGGTAAGCGATTCATCAACCAGATCCGCGCTGGGAGCTCTCGCGATCCCTCTCACTCTCCCTCCCTCGCTTTCAGGTATAAATATATATATATATACACAGTTGATTTCATTTTGAGTTTGATGATGGTTGAATTTCTGTGTAAAACATGTTTCTGTCTGTTCTTGTTTGAGATTTTTACGTATTTCTTCTCATCGATCTTCACGGCCAAAGCTATCTTTTCCTAATTCCTGCTTGCTGATATTTGTGCTGCTGATTTTCTCGAAATTAAATGTTTTCTCAGAAAGATTTCTCGGAAAACAAACAGTAAGAAATTAATTAATTTTGCTTTTTATGGTGACGGATGATATTATGAGATTTTTATTGGTCCAACTCATTATTATTGCTTCCTTTCTCTTTTTTTAATGTGAATTATAGAATTTTACAAATTCAATACAATTATTATTATTTTTATTATCGGTTATTGATTACTCGTATCAATTAAAAAATAAAAAAAATAAATGATTCATGAAAACATAAATTTTACTGTTTATTATCATATATTTATACCTTATTTATTTTAAGTAATTCGAGATGTGATGACAAGTATAATTTATTTTTATTTGTTTAATTTCCATTTTGTTCGTCCCAGCTCAAATATCTACCCTTTTATCGTTATTTACGTACCAAAAAAAGGTCCGTACTTTGGGGAGTAGTTTATGAAGACAAAAGTCTTTTGCTTTGGACATGGTTTTGTCTGTTGAGACGGGGTATTTTTTAGACGGGGTATTTTAATATTTAATAATAATAATAATTAAGCAACTTGTAATTTAAAAATATAATAATATATATTATCATTAGTTGAAGCGTGTCAATCATCGGATAAGTTCTGAGTCATTTAAGGCCATTTAGGTGCTGTTCTTGGCCCACCTCACACCAAAAGGAAATTACCCTTCGATTAAAAAACCATGTGATGTGGGGCTTGTAATGTTATTTTCACCTTCTTCAAAAAACCCAAAAAAAAAAAAAAAAAAGGTTTTTGTTATTGAAAGAAAGCCTTTCCTCTTGGCTTTACCTAGTCATTTTATTTTATTATCAAAAACATGAAAAAGAAAAAAAGAAAAAGGAGGAGAGGTTTGAATCTCCAAGTCCAATCCAATTTCCTAGTCAAAACTTCTTAAATTCAAGCACCCAAATTTGTATTCCTAATTATTTATTTATAAATCATCTCTTTTTATAAATAAAAAAAAGAAAAAGAAAAAGAAAAGAGGAGGTTTGAATGAATCTCCTTGTCCAATCCAATTTCCAAGTCAAAACTTCTTAATTCAAGCACCCAGATTTGAATTGGTGATTTTTCACAAGTTTTATAAACACTTATTTTATTTTTGAATGATATTTTCTTTATGTGACACACTTGTAATGGTTGATTCTTAATGAAATTTACCTAAGACCCACTCTATAGGAAATTTGTAATTGTGCCATATAAAATGTTAAATAAAATATTATACAGAAATATATTAATTATAGCATTACCTTTTGGAGTTATAAAGTTACTTTTTTTTGTTAAGCACTTTTTTAAATAAATCTTCTAACAAACTCTCTATTAATTCTCTATTCTTTTTAAATATTGTTTTTACAACTATGCTGCAGACCCCTAGTGGGGGTCGCACCCCCAATGAGGTGGCGAGCCCCCACTGGCTGAAACTCAAAAAAAAAAAAAAAATAAATAAAACAGTTTTTTTTTTGTCCAATCACGGTGCGCCACCTCACTGGGGGTCGACCCCCAGTGGGGGTCCGAAGCATTTTTCTTGTTTTTATTCATTTCAATATAAAGTTATTTTTATAAACTCAAACACAACTAACTCTAAAATATCAAAAGTTATATTTTTATAATTTGACTAGCTAAAATCATTAGCTACATTTGTTAAATCTAAAGTATCAAAATTAAAATAACTAACTTGATAATGGAGTCAAATAATTGGTTACTTATCTCTATTTTAGTTATATATATATATATATATTAAGAAATAGTTAGTTTGATGGACATACTCTTGTAATGTTCCACCCGTCTCCTACGGTTCTAGTTAGGCACAAGAAGGGTGGTGTGCCTTAACTTGTGAGACTTGTCAAAAAAATCATTAATGTAAAATAAAAATTTGATTGTATATCAATAATATATGATCAAATCTTATTCGTCTTAAGAACTATGAATGAGAAATATAATTTTGAGAATAAATTGTTCAACAAAAACCATCTTTTGGATGGAGGCCACTAAGGCCACGACTCCCCATGCTGGGTACAGCAAACCCCATGTCCCACGCTTTAGGGGCTTTGTAAATAATTTTCTTTGTACTAAATACTAATAGATAATCATAATAGCAATATTAGAGTGATCATATTTAAATATTATTTATAGTCGTCCTATACAAATAATTTTTGTTTTTACAAAATTTTCGTATAAACTAGTGTGTAAACTATCATGTTAGTTTATTTTGTCCCATTTCAGAAATCAAAAGTTTATTTATTGCATTCCACATTAGATTGTAAAGAAAATTAGCAAGAAAAAATTGTGTATAGAAATTTTATATTATTTAATGTTGCACTTCACATAACACTAATTACAATATTTGTTGGATTTCACAAAATATTAGTATTAATATTTTTAGATAAAAGACAGGCCTTCCAAATATTTAATTAATGATATGTTATGTAAAATATCACACCAGATAGTAGATGTATTGAATCCTAACCATAAATACCAAGTACTGACTTGGGATCTCAATTTTTATTTGCTTTTCTAATGGCATAATGTCATGATGATCTCTTATGACCTGGTAGGATGATACCTTATTATTATAATTTGCTTTAGTTATCAAGCTCTCACAACCACCATTATCTTTCCCACTGTTTGAGGTCGATGCACATTAGATTATTTTGAGATCTAATTCAGGCTCTTATTTTTTTAAAAAAACAAATCTAGGGTTGGAGAATGGAGCTGTGACACTTCCACTAAGGAAATGTATTTTCCTTTCTTATTTCATCACTTGTTTTTGTTTTGAAAAAATTTCTAGTGATACAGAAATCAATTATAAAATAGACACAATCTTCTCACATGAACTAAGTTCTTCCACTTTTCATGAGTTCTAATTTTCAATTTCATAATTGATATGTGGAAATAGAAGCACTGTTTTATTATTATTTTTTTCTTAGCGTGGAAAATGCGCATCCATTTTGTTATAGATCAAAATTAGTTGGTTGGGTAGGTGAGCTCTATTCTGATTGAACAATGTGCCGATCACGTGACTAGATATCATCCTACACACCCTCTTGCCTCATGTTCCACACTGATCACAGGTGTCTTCGGCTTCCTCAATATTTATATATAAAACTATGTACAAGTACATACAAATGATGGGGACAAATGGTAGGGGCACCATTTATACTTCAAGAAAGAGAAAGGGTATAAAGGGAATATAATATTTGAATTGTATATTACATTTATAGGCATTGTTTTCTTGGAAATTCCCAATTTATTGCCAACTGTCAGCTGTTTCTATTACAATTGTTATATTGTTAATTTGATATAAACGATGTGTTGATACCAGTTTTAAAATAGCTAGTTATTTTATTGGGTATTCTGTTTTGAAATGAATGAATATTAGTTTGACACATCATTATTAATGTGTGTGTGTGCAGGAGGGCCGTGCACGCGTCAGTATACGACAAGAACATCGACGAGCAAATCCTGCCAACCATTGTTCCGGACGATGTAGTCCAGCCTGAATCCGACAAGTACTGGGCTCCGCACCCGCAAACTGGGGTATTCGGCCCAGCCACTGATCAGGACCCAGCTGCAGGTGGGGAACGTGGGTTCCACTCGACTGCGAATGGTGGCGTGG